GAAGTCCATGTGTATCATTCTTGACTTCTTTCTACCCTCAAGAAAATGCTATCTTTGGGTCTGTTTTCTCTTTGTTGCCCTCTGGGTGAGGTTGTTCTATGTGGCAGTCTCTTATTTATGCTTGGTGAGTGCTGTTCTTCTGCCCATATTGGATCAGCAAGGATCATTTGTAGTGCTGGGTTTCTTCTAATGTATCCTTTGAGTTTACCTTGTTTGGGAAGGCTCTTACTTCTCCATCTGTTTTGGTCGATGATTTAGCTGGGTAGAGTGTTCTTTGGTTTGCATCATTTTCCTTCAATAGGTCTGAGCATATTATTTTTGGGGAACCTTTATATGTTCCCTAGCTTGTTTTTCCCTAGCTGCTCTCATGATTTTCTCCTTTTCCTAAAGTTGGATAGTTTTAACTATTATGTGCCTTGGTGACTTCTTGGGATTCAGTCTAGCTAGTGTTCTTTTAGACTCCTGAATGCTTGCCTGGTTTTCATTCATTAAGCTGGGGAAGTTTTCCTCCAAGAATTCTCTCACTATTGTTGCAGATAACTTCTTTGTTGTGTCTTCCTCTGGTAATCCCATTATTCTGATGTAGTTTCTCTTCATAGCATCTGACATAGCTGTTGGGTTTTCTTCAGCTTCTCTGATGATCTTATTAGATTTTTGTTAGAATTTGTTAAAGTCTGCTTGACTGTCCTCTAGGTCACTGGTGAGGTTCTCTGTCTCTTCGAGTCGATTGGCGAGGTCCATGAGTCATCTACTGATTTTTGTTATCTCATTCCTAAATTCTTGTATTTCTCTTTGGTGTATGGTCTTTATTTCCTCTATCATTTCATCCTTTTTCTGTATTGTTTCCCTCATATCCTGTATGACTCCAAGCAACATTCTGAAAATTTATTTCTGTGGCAGATCAATGTCTGCTTCTTCTGTGCACATCATTCGGTTCAGGATATCATTCACTATTCCCTTTTGTTTCTCTTCTTTTTTTGTTGAGCTTGTTTGGGCTGATTGCTCTTTGGTTGCATTGCTTTAGGAGCCATGGGCCATTTTCCAGGGAGTCGAATAGTACCAGTTCTCTCTGTGAGACTCATAGAAATGCTTCTTCAAACTGCATGCAGCTAATTTCACTATAGAATTGGCTTACCAGTTTATTCTCCTGTGGCTTCAATCTTTCCCTACTCAGCCAGTATTCTGTTATTTGGTGGGCAAGTTGGATGGTCCACTCGGGACGCTGGTTGGGTGTTGTGGACCCACCAGGATGGTGCTTTTTTGGGTGTTCTCACAAGAATCCACGATGGTGTGGCCCATGGCAACTTGGGGTGCTGCCAGAGGTATGTGGGGTGCCTGCTGCAACGGGAGTGCCACAGAAGGCTGGTGGGTTGCCTTCTTTGTTGTAGAATACTCCGAATGGTGGGTGGAATTGCCCTGGTCAGGTAGATCGATGAGGAGGTTGGGCAAAGTTTCTTGCAGCAGTGTGGAATGTTGACGAGTGTTGTCAGACCTGCTGCACTACAGTGGTGGGAGGAAGTTCTCTCAGTCACGTGGGACCACAGAGGACGGGTAGGAGCTCCCCCAGCCATGTAGACATGATTTCTTTTGAAGGTGGGCAGGATTTCCACAGCCATGTATTAAGCACTGCAGAGGG